AAAGAGCCCTTCGAGGAAGTCGGTCGACTGGCATACGCAAAACGTGGCCAAGCCAGCGCAACCTGTGCAGGGTGATTAGTTCATCTATCGAGAGTGAGTTATTTCTCCCGAATACCATTCGACGTACTTCAGAATTGCTGATCCGGTGTTCCCACCAGATTCGGGCAATGTTCCGAAGACATCGATGGTCAAACACTGAAAGTATTTTGACGTTCTCGGCGCGCAGCAGCCAGGTTTCTGATCCATATAGTAATATGGAGCGCACCGCAGCATTGTAAACTCGACCCTTGACAGAGAGGCTGATGTCACGCCTACGCCACAGGTGACGTAGGTTCGCAAAAGCTGCTCTGGCCTTCCCAATCCGGATGGAAATATCATCTTTTGCCAGACCACCGGGACTGATACAGCTGCCCAATCGGTTCATCCGCAAGCATGAGGCTAGGGTCCGAGCCCACCCAATCTTGCAGTAGCACTTTACTCTTTGCAGGTGTGAAGCGCATGTTACATCGTGCGGTAGAGCTACTCAGGTTACCTTAAGTGGTTCGCATTTTTGAAGGATCTAAACTAGAGAGGGCAATATCTTCCGCATACTGAAAGTCTGTGAGCGAAGGCCCCAGGGTCATTTTGACTTCCGAAGTCTCAGAGGCAGGTAGAAAAATTTCAAGCAGCACATCAGCAACAAATTGGAAGAGGAAAGGCGAAAGAGGACAACGTTGTATTACATCACTGGACGTGATAAACTTGGTCGAAGGTTTGCCGTATACTCCTACATGCCCAAAAGAGTTCGCATACAGTGCCCTCATAACGGATATAAATTTGGAAGGGACATCTTTGACTGTTAAACACCGCCAAAGTTCCTCACGACCGGCAGAATCAAAAGCAACTTTCGAATCACGAAAAACGACCAACTTGGGACGTTTGAAGGAGTGGCCTGTTCAAGAACTTGTCTCAAAGTAAAGACATGGTTAATGCATCCTCGGCCGGTGCGAAACTCCGGTTGATTCTCACGAACATGTCTCTCCTGATAATCGATCAGCCTATGCGAAATGATGCCAAAGAGCACCCTAGATGCAATGGATTCTAGACTGATGCTACGACAGTTTTCACATGACACACTTGCACCCTTTTTGAAAACTGGGATGACGGTCTAGGAGCTTGACTCGGCTAGCATTGTGTTTTCATTCCGAATCTTCTGTAGTATAGTTATAAGACTGCTCACCAGGACCTCGCGCGGTACAGGCGATCGCGCTTTAGGATTGATATCTCACGCTGGATTTCGGTTGTTGATGGCCGGTGGGGATGTCCCATTCACACCTGCTGGGTTCTTCCAGAGGTTGCGTTGAAGGAGACCGGCCGAACTGTTCTTTAGATGCGCATTCCACCGACTGAGGGAGTGAACTGTCGTTCTATAGTTTCCGCATATTGTTTCACTGTCACCTGTTTTCTTTTGATCGATTGATCGAATCAGCCGGAACAGGGCAGGAACTGTGTCTGCAGAGAAAGTCTTCATTGGCCAGGCCTTCGAAATCCACCAGCGTTCTGTTATTCTTAGACCTCCCGATTATCGGGTGTTTGAGGGATCAGCGTGCGCTATCACAATTGTTAGTTGCTGGTATGGCCATTCTGACAACAACAAGATTTGCTGATTTCGAGGGTATTCAGTTTTTGAGTGAGGTGGCTTGCATAAACAGTTCTGAAAGTAATCCTCGTCATGCGCATGAGTGCCCGTGACGAAGAGACTGGACCCTATCGAGGTAGGATGGTTTGTGTACCTCAGCAGTGCATTGAGCTATACTGATGGGTGTTCGCTCCACAATCGCAGTTTCTCACACCAGATTGGTCAATGGTTGAAGATCTGACGAACACGGTCTGCTGGTCATCCAGGTTGGGGGTTGGAACATGTGCGGCGACGTGTTCCACAAATTGGTAATATACTTGCATTCCCAGCCGCTGCCTTGCGGTCAGGCTTTTGAGCTTTTGAGCTTTTAGTTGATGACCCTGATCATCCACCTGTCTAGATGTGGGCGCCCTGGCGGTATCTCAAGCCACGTAAAACATGAACTGCACATATACAAATCAAATCATGTCACATCGGCCGTCGCGTTGTGCCATCATCCGGGCGCCTTACTCGCTGAATAAAGCAGGGCAGGTAGTCGAAAACAGACCACTTCTGATGCCTCCCTTATTCTTCTTCTTTCACATACTTTTCCTTGCTCTCTCCCCACCACAATAACTCTATCCTTTTTGCAGGGATGGTATTTTCCTCAGCTTGCTTCTCGGTCTGAGCCTCCCAAGCTAGCG